AAAAATAATAAACGAACCAAAAAACAGAGCAAATCTCAATTTTTTACACCTACAGCCAGCTAAAAAAAAATACAAAAATGGAAGGATTTTTTACTTCAGTTCTCCTTTAAGGAGCCCAGTTGGCGGCAGAGAGGGTTATATTTGTCGTTTTGAGTCAATAGGGAAGAGATAAGGATTTTTGATGAAGGATATTTTCACACTGCAATTTCGATCATTTTCTATCATTAGCTGAGCATGTTCTGTGCAAATTCCCAGTGCTGAGCATTCAGTCATTTGCACTGGTGTGAATGATTATGTGAGGTGGGCTTTACTTCTTCTAAAATGACGAAGATTTGATCCTAATGTTTGGTCAAGAGATGATGTTGTCTGCTGGCAACCAGACTGGTGCATATGCTACTAGTATTTCAAGGTCAGCTGATATGACAGAATGCGCCACCCCAGACAGTACCTCAGATAATTTGGAAATTGCTATACTGAACGCATTGAATTTAGTGGATCAAATAAATGGGTCAATATCAAATTTTGAAGACGTCCTGCAATTTGCCAAAGAGGTGTACTAAGAAGACAATTACTTGGAAAAGAACAGAACAGTTCTTCAAAATTGTGGATACAAATCTCCCAGAGAACTTTACATCTGTTTGGTTGAGAGCCATTATGTGTCGGTTAAATCAAAGCTTCAACCTCCCTCCCTGGGCAACCCCCCGGGCATTTGAGTTTTTTGAAAATTACTGTTCAAATTCCTCCCTACCCGAGCCAAATGCTGTTCAAATGCCCCACACTAGGGTCTATTCAGGTGATCAAATGCCCCCACCCGAGGGACATTTAAAAACTTTCCATGTTATCCACCATGTAGGAGCTCATGACCTCGAGTCTGCAGACAGGTTGCAATAGACAGTACAGTTTTTATTCTAATCTATTCTGTAACTACTTTATAATAAAGAAAACCAATATGAAACATACATATAGTTGACAAATTTTGGTCACAAATCCTAAACGTAACCTCAATAATCTTTTCTCAATATTAAATAAATATTATATAACAATAGCGTTCTGTTGATGCAGATCAACTATTGTGCTTGAAAATTTGTGAAGTTTTGAATACACCTGTAGCAACCGTTGGTCATGTGATCAAATTTTTCTAAACAAAAAGAATAGTGTCGGTAAAAAGTGTTAAGGCGTAGAGAAGTCTGCCAATAATAAGAGGGATTTGTATGGGAAGAACAGTTTAAATCACTCAGCCACAGTTTTCCATACAAACCCTTTTATATGTAGAAATTTTCAACGCGTCGTTTATCGAGAGTTCAAATATGGTATGATTTTAAAGCAAGCAACTATTTAAAGTAAGAGAATCAAGAACGATGAAGTGGTGAAGACAAATGCAGACACTGTGGAAAGAAAGGAACAATCAAATTTTACTACCTAGGTATTTCTGAGAAAAGTACAACTTTGGTGTAGTAATTGTGGTATCTGAGATAAAATGATGGCCCACTGGGCTGACAAAGAACACTGGTAAGGGAGGGTCCCAACTTTATATTGAAAGAAATCTGGGATGGTGAAAGATTTAATAGCGCACCATATGATGACCTACTATTAGTGGCTAACACCTGCTAAGTATGCTAATTCCAGATGCAGCTCATGAATATCTATCTCTATTTTGTGTGAACAAGTGGTTTATTTAATCCTTTAAAAAACACATGCACACAAGTTCTTCATTTATGATTTCACATTTTAGTCCTGATCAGTCGCTGTCCTTCAAATCTATCTAGAAGAGAACTAATTTTGTCCATCATACGCATGGTCTTATCGCACATTTGTGCATGTGCCTTATTTGCTTCCTATGCCAACTTGTCATGGCGTTTCTTCTCTTTATTTCCTTGTTTCTTTGGGACTTTGGTTTTGCTTGTGCTTGGTTCAGCTGCCTCTTCAGCAACACCTTAAGGATTACCACATTAAATGGGTAGTTTAACTTCTTCATTGTCACGTTGAATGCCGTCCACTGGAGCATTGGGCCACTGATACTCTGGCTGCCAAAGAAAACCGACCACCACTGACATCCAGGTTGGAAATGCTGAATACGGACGCCTCAGGAACTGTCATCAGCTGGGTTCATATAACCGGGAACATGATGCTACTATTCTGGGAAGGTTGTTTGGGGAATCTCGGAAACGCGATTAGGGACAGGTTAGGAAGTGCCCATTCTGGTTCTTGATATATTGCAGAGATGTCATCAAGTCAGACCAGACAAGGCTTTCATCTACTTGAACATCAAGCTCCCTCAGGATTGAGTGCCACTAACACTGCAGCTTGCAATTTTAGGCGAGGTATAGTCCTGTTCCCAGGAGCAGTGGATCACTACTTGCTCATTGACAAACAAGAGAATCTGTATTGCTTGGGTTACTCTTGTCTAGTAAAACATACCCTCGCATTTGTCAGACTAGGTCCTTGTAGGAGCTGTTCATTTACGGGTGTGCCACTACACTACGCTATGGGTGTACAGTGGGTAATGGTAGTGGGGCATGGAGTTCTTTAGTGGGTGGATCAGGGGTTTCCAACTGGGCTCTATCTTGAATATGGTGTTTAACAGTTTTATGTATGCCCCCCTCTACAACAGCGGGAGTCCTAAAACTTACACTTAGCACCTTAAAATGAGTGTTCCCAGTAGGGAGTGTGTTGGAAACCCGGGGCATTTCCCATTGCTGGGGTGGATGTATGAGATCAGACGGTTGAGTTTCAGGTGGTACCTTTAAGGATTGAGCGTCCTTTAGATCCAGTTTAAGGGACTATTTGACACCTTCCTGGCCAGTGAGTGAATCAGACATTTCCTGTTCTGTAATAGAGGACTCCAAATTGGCCAATTCTACTTGATTTCTCACAGCTGCGACCTCTCTCTGCTTCTAATTTGGTCGGTTCTAGCCTTTGTTCTATTTGTTATTCAGTTCATTATATTTCCATCTCAACCCTTTTTACTTCCAATTCGACCATTTTTCTACTTCTTTCTTCAGCCTGTTGCGGTACTAATGCTGCTTTTGCTGCTTCGATTTTAGCTCTTTGCGCCCTTGAACTAGCCAGACTTAATTTTGAGTCATGACTCACAGTAGCCTTAACAGATTCTGGAGGGCATTCCTCATTACTGCATAAAATGCTCTCCTCATCTCTTTTCATTCGACAGAAACAGATGGCATCCTTATCTGGTAATTTAACTGGCACTGTGCAACGTGGAGTATACCATTGCCCCAAAATCGCAGGGAGAATGCATATTGTCCAAAATATTTCTAATTTAGGCAGCACACGGTTCCAGTGTTCAATGTCAGGGTATATGAATTGAACTACTAAATGAATGTTTTTCATTTTATCAATAGCACATACCACAAAGTCACAATATTTGACATTTGGCACTGAGAAGAGTTGCTGCTGAACTTGAAAGTAGTAGCTGTGAGTTTTCTTTAGTTAGAAGTGCCCATTTACTTTTTCTAGGCAGGAATTCTTTTGCTGAATATAGTCCTCAAAATTACCATCTTTGATGATGAAAGGGCACTTCACTTCCCCACACCCATTCCCGCAACAGCTACAAGACACAAGGAAATCAGGTGTGGCATAGAGAAATGCTTTCCCTTTATTGATAAATAATCCACTCTTCTTTACCTCTTAGTTTGCATGGTTTGCTTTGACAGCCGCTTCATATGCCTTTATGACTCTTGTGCTTTTGACCATGCCTGACTGCTTTAGTATTGACCTTGTAAAGGCTTGGGTAACAAATTGTCCTAATCAAGGACTGGGAGGGTTGTGCAAAGTTTGTGTGAAATACTGCACTGCTAACAGATGCGCCAATTCTGCCAGCTCGATGTCTATAAAATCCTGAACCGTTTGCCTGGGTTCGTGAGTTGACTTTCACTTTGTTTATGTGGTCCTTAGAAATATTTCATGTGATGTTAGTACACAATTTAAGTAGCTCCGGGTACTGAAGATCAAGATTTTTAGTCTGAAATAATTCTGAAATGGTCGGTAGTGTGAGGATCAATCAAGCTTAGGGCCACAGCTTTGTTACGACAATTATTCAGTTTGGCGTAGACCTCCTCCATTTCTCTATCTGATGGCAGAGTCGAACCAAATTGTTGTCCATGGCAATGTTCTACGGTATTTGTTTCCTTATGCTCCCCAGCATTTTGAGGTAATGACTCAATTTGCAGATCCAATGTGGTTTTTAGCTTTTGGGCAGACTAAAAGTTGATATCCTTTGCTCTTGCGTATGGTACTTTGTTCACATATGTCGGTAAAACCCACGTGCATTTCACTTAAGAACAGGTGAGCTTTCCTTGGATCCGTGTTATGGCTTTGATGTAAAACAGAGCACTTGCTACATGGGAGCAGGTTTCACCTAGTCCTGCTTTGCAATCTAAACAATGCGCCGAGATAATGGTTCCATCTTTCTCTGTGATGATCCAAATATTCACTAGAGGATCTCTCATGCTCTGTGAATGTCGCACTTTAGCCACTACAACATACTTGTCCGCTATTTCCTTTCCATTAACTGACGCGACAAAGCCAGAAACCATTTGATTATATGCCTGAAGACTTTTAAAGCCTTAAATTGCTTATTCGTGTAATGGCTTGTCTCTAGAACTAAGTACGAGAGCAAGTCGGAGACTTCTATTGGCGCCAAGCATTCTGGACTCAACTGCTTGCTCGGTAAAGCCGCCGGATCTATTCCCACCACAGAAATCTTCTTTAAATATCGTTCTTTTATGTGGTTTTCTAGGCCCTTGGCATAGCTTGAAAGCACTGGTATCTTTTGCAGAATATCCTCTGGAGATTCTGGATTCTCGCCTTTGAAATTATCCATTAAAAGTTGAATTAATTGCACGCGAACGCTTCGTCCTACATAGAAATGGCTTACATTTGCATAAAATATGAGCCGTTACATGGGCTCAAACATGGCGGGTGCCTAATTAGCGTTAATGTGTGACTTCAGCTGAAAACCGAGAAAAGAAAATGTTGAAAGTAATCGTGGGGCCAAAGACTGTGGTCAAAGAATAAAATATCCTTAAGTATTGTCGAGAAATTTGATTTGACATGATGTTGGCCACGCCCTTAAAAACGTCAAATTTCTGATATACTTAAAATTTTTTTGGAAAACATTTGCCAGGAAGTAAACAACATTGCTCTTCACTGATGGTAATTTGACAGAGTTGGAGCAAATGTTTTTAAAATTTTGCAAAAAAACGAAAAATAGCCTCCATTACCACCTTAAGAGACACTGAGACCCTTGCTCGCTCTATTACAATGAAAGAAATCAACTTGAACTGGTCTGTTGTAGCTATGTCAACTGACTAGCAGTGTAAACATCTATCATACGGAAGCGAGAACACGTGGGGTGCATCAAGATTGTTGAACGACGAGAAATTTGGCAACTTTTTTGCACACTTCAAATAGGCAACGGAGATCAGCAACATCCACATTTGGAAAAAGGATGAAAAGAACCTCCTCACTAAATAGATCTAGCAACATCAGCAATGGCAAATACAAGAGTCATACCTAATTTCAGGATCAGTGCGCGAAGCACAACATCCTGAGGCACATGCTCAACTTGATCCAGGTTACTTGAGGAGATATCACGTAGGTTAACTCATTGCCTCCTTCAGCAAAGGCCTCTTCCCTTAATCTTTCAACCAAAAAAAGGCCCTGAACTGTTGCAACATTTCGCCATTCTTCCTTGTGTTAGGATTTACCTGGTGCATCAGTGCATCATATGTTAGAGGTAAGTTCATGTCCAGTCGTCCCCTCAGTTGTGACGGCATCACACGCTTGAATATTGAAATCCTGCAAATATATCAGGCACCCGATGGTTTTTCCCGATCTTCATGAGAGCTCCATCTGTTGCAAGGCCTTTAGTATTTTTAGTCTTCAAACTACACTGATGCAGTTCATCCTTGATTAGGGAGGTCAGGGCATCAGAGTTCGCACATATTTTATCAAAAGAAATGCACTTTCCACGCATGAGGTGATCGGGCTCACAAACTGTATGAATGTCAGCATTTGAGACTTTACAGAGATGTCTGTTACCTCACTATTTAGCTTCAGGCCCAACATACGACTTTGCATAGTGAATGGTACAATGCTTTTCCGACTCAAACCACTTCATCCACCTACTCTGCACCGGCGTAAACCGCGTGCAACCTCACCATACAACTTTCTTCATGCTTTGTTCCCTTTGCTTTCATGTCTCATTAAGCCCACTGGGCCTGAAGAATCCGAATGCCTGCTCTCAGGGCTACATCAAGCACAAATTAAGTGCCATCATCTAGACCTAATGGTGTAGGTCAAGGGCCTGAAATGATTGACTATCCCGGTCGCATGCTCCAGAGCCACAGCCAAAACTAGGCTAAGGAACAGCACGCTCAGTCCAAGCCTTCATAATGCCGTAGCAGATCTAGTGGCCAGAAGCCCCCTCCAATTCATAGCAAGAGCCTCAAAGGCAATGTGCCTAGGCTCAAAGCATAGTTGGGCCCACTCTCTAATGGCTGGAACATCATAATAGACACATTTGTCATTGTGGATCTTCTCGAGGTCTGCATTGTCTGCAACGATTGTAACATCCAGTATTGTTAGGTCGCTATTGCATACTAGGACTAGGTCTGGCCTTTGAATACCTGCTGGTGTTGGTATCGCCGGTTCACGGTGGATACTGTACCCAGTCTTTTCCGCACCAGACATTACGAGATTAACGATACTGTCAGGCCTTGCAATGTGTGATGCACGAGTCTGAGGACACACCCGTAAGATGTGACCCAAGGACTCTGGTCTGCCGCAGCAGTCGCATCTGATGTCATGGTTGGGGCGACCTCTAGCTGATCTCAAGGCTGTACTGACCAAGTTGCCCCTGATCTTGATCGCACCAATGTATGCATGTCCATTAAGTGTCATATCCCCCGAAGTTGCCCACAGATGTTGTGCGGGTACATGTGGGGCTGTCGCCAGTCCTCGTCCATTGCATGAACGATTCAGTTGTTGTGCTAACACACCCCTCAGACCCTGCCGTGTTCCCACAACAGAGGCATTTAGGGTAGTCTGCTTTTCCCTGAGGACTTAACGTGCCACCGGGGTTTCCAGCATAGCACGTACCACCGGGTTCGTGGAATCAGCCATTCTAGCAGCTCTTGCTTGATTAAGGAGTGGTATTTCGTGCTCTAACAGAGGAAGATTCAACCCACCATCAACCGCCTTAGCATGGAAAAAGGTGGTTGAGGTGTCCTTCGGTAGTTTAAGCCAGGACCTAACAGCAGATCGCATAGTTAAATCGAGCCATTTCAAGTACTTGGCAGATGACGGTGTTAGACTAAGCTGGTGGAGTAGCTTGGGAACCAGATGGCAGTCAGCAGTATATAGCCTCTGTTGCGGCTTCAGTGGGGCTTTAGAGATGTTACTCAGCCCCTGCTTCAGCGTATCTGAAACGGTTGCCTTTGTACTTTGTGGCGAGATGTTAACGCCTAAGTACTTGTAGACTTGGTTAATGGTTAAAGTTGGTATTAACTCTCCCTGTACCTGAAGGTAGGGGTGTGGATACACGATCCACTTCTTCGCTCTGCCATCTATGCTTAAGCAGATACTTGCCGACTTTCCTTGCAGACCAGGACTAAGTTCCAGTCCACACAGCATGAGCTGGTGGTCCAGATCATTAGCCACCACCTGAAGTCAAACCGGGGACCTTGCAATTAACGCAATGTCATCCGCGAAGGCGTTGTGGTTCACTCTGACAACTCCAATTTCCGTTCCAAGCTCCGGACCAAGCCTGGTGAGCGCCAAATCAATCACGGCATTAAATAAATGAACGCTGATCGGGTCTCCTTGTCTGACGCCCCGCCCCAACCTGATTGGATCGCTCAGTTCGGTGCCGATCTTAGTCTAGTCTGCGCATCGCTATACAGCTCACGCAAGTAGCCCAGGAAAGGTGGTGGAACCCCTTAACGAGCGGCTGCAACCAAGATAGATTGATGGGACACAGATTCGAAGGCCTTCTTCACATCCATAAAGGCAATGTTGAGAGGGCAGAGGTTATCCTGATGGTGTTTGATAACCGTCTGCATGAACCATACCGAGGTGGCAATTCCGTCCCCGGACCAGAAAGCCTTTTGGCGGAGACTGAGGGGAAGATGCATCTCCATCCTTTGTGCCATGATCCTATGGAACATCTCACCACAATATCGGATATCATGATGGGACGAAACTCATTGGGGGCACCAGCTCGCGACACCTTGGGAAGCAGCACAGTCTCGCCTCCTCTCAAAATACTCGGCAGGTAGCCTGATAGAAGGCATAGATTGAAATGAGCTGCCAAATAGTTAGTGGGTATAGCTCTCACGTCCTTTACCTTTCGGCCGTCTGGGCCATCCTTCATCCCATTCAGAGATCGGTCGACATCCCCAGCTGTAATCGGGGCCATAAGCTCCCTTTTAGGCGGCCCCACAGGCTGCGGACACCTGTCGTCTGGCACCGAAGCTCGCTCAAAAAGACTGCCATAAAGGCTCCTGCACTCCCATAGGAAGATGAGTTGGAGGATCTTGCCAGGCGCCTGAGATGACATCTTGGGCACAGCGGGATCTGTTCTTACTGTACTCCCACTGTACCTGGGCATACCGTGCCCTGAACCCCGGTCTGCTGGGGCCTGGAACAGGGACCTGGCGTATGCCTCTCACAAATCGGCAACCAGGACCTTTACTCCTTATCCAACGCATTCCTCACCCTGTCGTCTGGGCAACGGTGCACTATTTGATCTAATAACACATCCCCGAAGTCTAATTTTGCTCCCTCCAGCGCCTTCCTCAAGGCATCCAACCACCTATGCTGCTCAACAGCCAGTCACTTGGGGCCCAAGAGCCCTGATCTCAGGCTGTTTTTGTGTAACCTGGGATGGCAATGATGGTGAACCGAAGGTGGCTCACAATGGTCAGTTGCTATGGGTTGTCCTCCTGCAACTTTACTTGCTTACTGGCACAGCAATTGTCAGCGGCAGTTGGCGCCAAAAGCAAAAATTGGAAAACATTCTCAAAATGGCGGCTAGTGGAAAAGTTATCGAAAGCCCAAGAAAGTTAAATTTGAGGCCTCTCGGGGTGGAAAGTGATACAGAAAGAGGGCACCGCTTCTGGAACAGAAATGTGGTGGAGATGAAATTTTCTATTGAACATGACTGGATGAAGAGGGTTTGTTTTGCTGAGAGCAAGCCGAATTACAGGATGAGGGAGGTCGACCCCGTCCTGGAAGAACTTGTGAAGAACAAGCTTGAGCTCATTGGCCCGATGTTGGATGGGTTTATAATAGAAATCGGGCTTTGAATTCGTGCGAAGCTCGGCAGATCTTCCAAATCTTCAGGCATCGGTGGGTCCTGGTACAAAGTTATGGCGGTAACATTGAATCCTCAAAGAAAGGAGAGAAAATAACGACAATCACACGACCCGACATAGTGGAGAAAATTTGGTCGCCAGCAAAATTTTCAGGAGAGAATTTTTTAACAAAGCGACACTATGAAAAAATTCCCGAGAAGGGTCGAATAATTCAAACCTTCAGTGGCAAATCAATCGTTGTTGTCACGCAAGCAACTCCAATTGAAATAAAGTTCTCCATGAAACATCAGAGGATCACCACAACTTTTTACGTTCAGCGCTATGACCGATATGGTTTTGCGAAAGATTCTAATTTACAGAAACTCATGAACTTGACCGAACAACAACAGGACTGATTAGACTGATCTGTTTGAGCATCACTTTGACCTTGAACACTTGAAGTCAACAACAACAACATTGAGGTTGTCTCAATCATTTATATCAAATTAAAATATTTCTTTCAGATATAAAAGGATTTTGAGTACTAAATAATTTAAATATATAGTCGAAAATAGAAAATAGAATACAATAAATGCATTATTACTACAAGGTAAAGACACTATTAGTAGCCTATAGAGACAGTCTTACAGTGTTATGTAGCTAAAAATATTATGAAGATCTTTGAGTTTCACTGCTTCACAATAAAAACTGATACTTACAACTCCCGAAGTCATAGAGAAATCTGTTTAACAAAAATTTTCATATATTATTTATCAGACAATCCATTACTGGATAATATACTTGAGGTCTTAAGGAAGAAGAATAATTTTTATATCATCTTTTTCAGTTGCATTATTGTAACCCACTTTGTTGGGCAATTTTATATGTTTTTTTGGCTTATGATATACTTTAGAAAATTGCACATGTGTATAGTTTTAATTACTATGAAAGTATCTTTATAATGATCAAATTGCTGCTTTGTAAACATTCTCCAATAAAATTATCTGTAAAATATAACCCCTTTTTTCTAAGTGCATACTACTGATGAATTACATAAAAGCACATCACTTTCTTGTAGAAATACTATGAGCTTTTTTCAAGCAGGTCAAATAGTAGAATCAGGAGTACCCAACGAGAAAAATTTCAAAAGTGATTGGATATCGCTCCCAGTAATATTTTAACAGTCACTAATTGTTTTTTGGTTGATTATCAACTTCTCTGGCAAAATTATATCCGCTCCCCAAAGCCAGCTAGAGCTAGATTTTAAAGTGCAATATCCAGCCAGGATCTTTACCTTAAGGGCTTTTCCCAGCCAGGATTTTTACCAAAAAGGCATGTCCCTAGCCAGAAATGTCTCTTTCTTCCCTTTTTTGCTAGCAAAAAAAATATCCGACATTTAGCCAGCCAGAAAGATAAATTGAACCATTTTATGCAGGTGATACGCAAAAATCTATCTCAAGGAAAGTTTAGTGGTGTTTGAGACATTTTCTTTGCTCGTTATGATTTCGGTGCACATTAACGCGGGATAAAAATGTCATTTCTACGCTCTCACTGGTCTGTGGAAAATATAAGTCGTCTTCACTTCACTCCAAATGAGAGCAAAGTTGCGAGACCGTAAAGAATAAAATAATTAAGAGTTGGTTCACCTGATTTGACGAAGACTCACTGACAACCACGTTTCCAGGGTTCCAAACACTGGTAACGAGACTGGATTCATTAAGAGAATGTCTAGAGAGCACATTCGCCAAACGTAAAACGCGTACTTACTCTTCTTTTGACCCCCCCCCCCTCCCCCCTACCTCCAACAGCTCATTGGTCTAAACTTTATCGAAAATTACGCTTTCCGCTGTCACCAAGAAAGTAACGAAAATTTCGATTAACATTTTGCACAACTCACCATCCAGTTCAGACAAAATCAAATGACCGCACTTGCCGGCACTTTTTGGTAACTGGAACCACATTCTTGTACTCCAAACGAGATAGTGCCAACCCAAGGTAATTAAAAAATAATTCTCTTCCCACCTTTATGTCTGATTTACAAGAGAAACTTTTCCACATCTCTTCCTTACTAACAATGTCGTCTTCTTCGCTTCCTTCTGACACATGATTTTGAAGCCATTGTTCGACGTCTGACGTCTGAAGATAGAGTTAGGTAAATGTGAATATTATTTCAACCTAGTGTATTCCATGAACAACGAAAGCAACGGAAACAAATTTAATTTTTTAATTTTTGTAATCAATTGACTATCAAAACCTAAAAAAAAGTATCCTGACGAATACAAATAGTGTTGAGTTAGGTTCTTTCCAAGGAAGAGGTTTCCAAACATATCTCATCGTTTTCACTTCGCTGGTGATGAGCGATTTGCTTGTTTTCATGAATTTTTCTTTGATAGGCAGAAAAAGAATGTGATGTACTTGTCACTTATCCCAAACTTTGGAATCTTCATTCAGCTATAGTCACTTTACCATAGCAGTTGGTTGCAAAGTGACTCGTGACATCGTTTAAGCCTGTAACTACAAATATATTTACCTTAGTATTTGTGAAGTTAACCTCTCTCCCATTGTCCTTTCCATCACCACCTACATCATCTCGGTGGGTAAAAGATAACATTTGTCATTGTATCTATTTCTCCGGCTCTGCCCTGGCCTGGCGCACGCTACTGGTGTACACGGCTAAGAATCTCACATCGTTTGGCTCTTATGAACTTATTAAAACTCAGATCGCATCAATATTTGGCAAGAAGTGAAAGTTTATAAACAGCTTTTCATTGAATATTTTTTTCCTGGCTGTAAGACCAAAACAAAATTGAAATATGAAAAATATGGCTCAAAATGGGACCATTTTTTAACAGCTTGCGTAACATTTACAGTCTAACCACGCATATTGTGGGATTTCTCTGTTTCTGTTAATGGTACTTTGGAAAAATTTCTCCGAAGAGGTCAGTGACTTATGAGTACTAACTGTATTAAAAATTACTGAACATAATGGCAAAACAACAAAGTTTAGGGCGTTTTCAGAAAGATGTTCTGTCTACATACGATCTCTGTGCAGCGCGAACGTCAATTTAAAAGATTGCTTTTCATTGACGTTCTGTTGTTAAGAGAAGAAATAATAATTTTTGAAATGCTCATAAGTTAAATTTTCCTTATAGACTAACTGTTAAGAATTCGGGAAACCCATTTTTACGCTAAGATCAAATATGTAAGGTTAGACAGCATTTTTTTAACGTGAAAATTCCTAAACCGTGCGTTGGACCGAAAATCGGATTCTAGAGTGTGCTTTGGCATAAAGATTTTGTGCCTAGAATGTGCCTAAGATGTGCATAAAGTGTGGATTTT